AGACAATCTTTATCAAGGTTAATCCGTTTGAAATGATTCATCTGAGTTATTTTTATATTTCATTATCTAATATTGGATATATTTCCTTATAAAATCAAAAAAATGTTGTATTTTTTCAGAACTGCTGTAAATTTTTAACTACGCTGGTTACTAAGACATGGTCCAGCTTAAGTTAGTTATTAGAAACGGCTAATATATATTACGAAACAATATTAAACTTATTTATTTAAAACTAACGATGTTTTTTTAGTATTAGGAAAGCTTTTTCCTTATATTTATTTATTAGGGTAGACAATAATTATGTGAAAAAAAATTTTAACATATCGCTTATTTAAAAGAATACATTTTAAGATTATTTTGTATATAAAATAAAGCAACAAAACTTTAATTAAGTTATTTCTCTATATTTAAAAATATTGTCTTTTTTTTCCTTTTTTTTTTTCAAAGAGGTTTAAGTTCCATAAAGATTTTGATTTTGTGTCTCTTTGTTGTGTATAGATTGTTAGTAATATACTTTGTTGTGTGTAGATTGTTAGTAATTAATGTTTATTTGTCTTCTGGAAAAATTAAAATTTTAATCCTATAAACTAGAGTTAATTTTCCTTTTTTTCTATCTAAAGCTGGTTAAATCTGTCTACATACATACTTGTAATATTATTCTTTTTTTATGGCTACGCGCTTTGTATACAAACCATTCACGGCGGACGCACATCTGTCTATTAGACCTCAAAAGACCGTAGGACGTCTCTTCAAAACTTTTAATCTAATCTACTTCTTCTACAAAATTAAAACCATTTGTCCGATTGGGTTATTAGATTCAAAAGCTCTGACTTAAACTATAGAAAAGGTGATTTCACTGCTATATTGCCTAAATTAAGAGATATCGATTGCCAATCTCTTCTAGCGAACAAAAGTATAAATCACGTTTATAATACCTTCGCATATATTTATAAGAAACTGTGTGTTGAGTTAATCTTAATTATAAGACCGAAACTAACATTTGACAGAGCATAGTCTATGCAAGGATGTTATGCAAATACCTAAACTAAAATTACGGCTATGCTATTTAAACACAACCAACAAACCAAGTAAAAAAAAACTTGAAGAAATCTAGCGAAAAATAGCAAGATACACAACCTAAATTACATTGAAAATAATCTTAAACGTCTGTTTGCGTATATCAATAACAAAAACTAGCGTAAAAATGTTATAGTGCCTTAATAAACAGCTTTAGCCACATAACAATTGACAAACGACAAAAAACTAACAAACACTTTGAAATTCTCAACAAACAGTTTGAAATTCAGCGTCTAGTTCCGTACTGGGCAAACATTGTGGCAAAACTAAATATAAAATCGGCAATATTAGTGTTAATGCTTATTAAGTTGAGCAACCTATTAGATAATTAGATAAATCAAATTAATCACAAAGATCCAATACCATCCATTTAATAGTTTTACACAGCTGTCCATCCCAACGAGCTAAACCTTGAGCCATACTTTTCCAAAAATAAGTTGACTAAGACAAAATTCTTACCGCATGGAAAATAAAAAAAATTATTTCTTTATTAAAAAAAAGCTTGGCCGTTGGCTCTGTCAAATATCGATATACAAACCACGTTGGAACTACGGACTATTTATTATTATTAAAAAAAAATTATTTGCTGAATCGAATTCCTTATAAATTTTTTTTATCAAAATAAGGTTCTCTTATTTTTAAATTTTAATAAAAACAGGAAAAAAACGACACACTCTACCTAATGGGCACACGTCGTCTGCGGGGCGCCCATCGGATGTCTCAAGGTTGTCCAGATGTCCATCAGACGTCAGACGGACATCTGGACGTCCATCCCCACAGGGTACTATCGTATTTTATGTCAAAATCACCAAAATTGTACCTAATTTTGGTAGAAACAACCTACACCTTTTTATAAATTTTTTGATAATAATTGTTAAGTTTATCAAAATTTTCACACAAATAAAATGATTTATTTAATTATAATTTTCCCTCATTATTTAGTTATATTATAGTCATTTTCCGATTAAAACAACGCCCGCCTTCCCAACTAAACAATTTTTTTGTGTATCAATACATGTTACCTAGAATCAGTTTACTCATAATACAGTTATAGTTTACGTTTAAAAATTACTGTTGATTACTTTCACATTAAATAATGTTTTGAACTATAAAAATCTCAAAACCTATTTTTAAACATTAAACGAGATAATTTTAAAATAGACACAAATTGTTAACGGACATCCCCTAGACAAAAACAATTTTATTTTGTATCAATACATGTTACTTATAATCAATTTACTAATAATATAGTCAGAGTTTACGTTTAATAATTACTGTTGATTACTTTCACATTAAATAATGTTTTGAACCTTAAAAACCTTAAAACCTATTTTTAGAATGATGTATAATAATATATATATCTATATATTATAATGATATAATATAATATATTATATTATAATAAATTAAGTAAAGAGTTTTTAAACACAAAAATATTGAACTAGATAATTTTAAAATAGACACAAATTGTTGTGTTGGTCAAATTATTTCCTTCTTGATATATTTATACATAAATTTATATATAAACCGAGTGCAAAGGCTAATTAATTACGTCTATGATATTTCATTCAGAGACATTTTAATATTTTAAACATTGATCAGCGAAATAATGTCATATAAATCGATTAAAAAATAATAAATATAGTAAAATGAAATTTGTGCATAAGTTAGGTTGAACTATAATTTTTATCAATAATTGAATACTAATATTTGAAAATAATAAAAAAAAAATTGATTAAATAAGTATGAACAAAATATTTATCAACTTATATTTATTTTCGTTTGCCCATGCATGCTGGCATAAAATACATTCTGTAATGATTTTGTTGCTTCAAAAAGTTTACAGAAAATATTGACTCTGCAGAATATAAGTGTTAAAAAATACTATTCGTTGTAAAGATAATAAGTTTTTTGACATTGCAAAAAAAAACAGCAAGGACAAGAAAAGCAAGTCTTGATAAGCTTCTATTAAAAAAGTTTAGCCGTATTTTTTTTAATTTTTTATGTTTAGCATTTATTTATTTAAGGAACATATTTTAATAAGCCTTTGGTATACATAAAATATATGTATAATTTATATCCACAATATAACGAAATATTTTATTCTGAACATAGAGCATTAATACGTGTGTTAAAATATATAAAGATGGCAAGAACAAGAAGAAGCTTGTTCTGTATTTTCCAGTTTTTATATTTTAATACACAAAGTTGTAAGTCTTATGTTAATGATTTAAATAAATTTAAAATACAAATTTTGTTTAATTGCATATTAAAATGTTGTCCCCTGTCATACATAGCTGACTGTTCATAGCTGTCATACATAGCTGACAGTTCTTCTAGCAAATATTTTGTTACGATTAGCCGCTACTTAGGACCTAGCAATCCGCGTGGCAAATCGCACTCTTTATTTTTACGAGTTATCACAAGTTTATATGGCTAGCTATTCGCTAGCTTACTCGGCTACTAATCTTCGCGGCCAAATCTCTGTCTTTATCGTTTTGAGATGAAGGCAGCTAATCTCTAGCAAATCTAGCTAGTTATCCTCGCGGCTAAATTGCTGTCTTTATTGTTACGAGTCGTCAAAAGTGGATAGTCGTAAACTTGTAGCTAGTCACTAGGTTTTCTGGCCAGCGAACCTCGTAACCAAATTGCTGTCTTGTTTGTTATAAATATTGCTAGCTAGTCGCTAGCCGATTTCCAACCGGTTTATACGATAAATATATTTAAAAATAAGTATTATATCTAATTTAATAATATCTCATCCGTGTTTTTTTTTTTTAAAAAAAAAATTAAAATAAAACGCAATGAAAAGCATTATTTTCACTTTGCTTCGCATTTCTCAGTTTGCTACTCTCTAACTGCAATACATTGTGTTCTTCCGAAAATTTCACTTTTTCAGTTGAGTGTAAAGAAAGTGAAAATTTCACTTTTTTAGTGAGTTTATATATATATATATATATATATATATATATATATATATATATATATATATATATATATATATATATATATATATATATATATATATATATATATTATATATATATATATATACACACACACTCATATATATTTGTTCTTTGCATAAATCATTAAATCTTGTGATATTCTTGCATTGAAGATTTTTATCTTTTATTATATACCAAATAATGTTTTTATAAGATTTGTTGCTAGTAAAATAGCCACGAAATAGCTTTGATATTTTTTTTATAACGAAATAAGGTTATTGAAGGTAGTAAACTGTCGATCTAACAAAAAAGTTATCTGATATCATATTTTATTATTAGTTATAATATATTACAACTATATTATAACTAATAATAAAATATTTTTATTTATAATTTGTAAAACTTTTTTTCTTGAGTCTTTGTTATAAACATCATCATCGGAAGAAAATATTTCAAATAGAAAAAGATTTATACTTCTTTGAGAAGTTCCAGAACCAAATATGTAACAATTAAGACAAGCCATTTGCAAAAATCAAGGATAAATTTATAATCTTCTTCTAAATATTCTTCTTAATGCGCATTAGTTACAAAAAGTGTGCACTCATAGGTAGACTGGGTTTTTAAAAAAAGCTAACAATAAGATAAACAATAGCGCTTTTAAACTGGCCGGACGATGTATAATATGACTATGGTAAAACTATAGTTTTAAATATTTAAGATATAAAATTAAGTATAATCAGCTAAAACGCATAATATGAGCATAATTAAAACTTATAAGTTTAATATGAGCATAATTAAAACTTAAGTTATAATTATGCTCATATCTTAAATAATTAAAATTTATATCTGACACGTTTAATAAAGTGTCAGATATAAATTTTTATATGCATTTTTATATATCAACGTATGTTAATAATTGTTACTTTTAGTAAGTTTGCTCATTAAAATAAAGTAAATACAATAAAAACTAAATAATAAGTATTTAATACTTTTATTAATAAAATAACTAAAATCATCATTTAATAAAAAGTTTGACAGCCTAACATAGTGGTAGACCACTTAAACGTTTTCCTGCTTGTTTAAGTCACTCTGATAAAACTCGTTTGGTTTCTTTTTCTGAGAAATTCCAAACATTAGATAATGATCTGAGTAATAATGAATGTTGGAAGATGATGGTCCGAAAGTTGGAAGATGATGGTCCGAAAATAAATGGTCCGTATATGACTTTAACGGTACATTATTACCATACATAACATTTATATTTATTTGCAACTTGCATGACATTTAGAGAACAACGAACATGCTCGCTCATGGACTTGCATGTTAAACCTATAACTTCCACCTTCCTCTGAAGCGTTAGTTTAATTTTTTTGTTGTCAACTATTTTTTTTTCGAGTGACAAAAGTTCTTCGGTGGTAGTCGTTTGTTCAAAATCATCTACATGTTCATTGTCACTCTTTGATAGAAATAAAAGAATCTTTGATTGTTGTTTTTCGATTAGTTGCATTTTTTCTTCAAGGTCGCTTAAACAAAACAAAACTTTTTGCTGAAAGTTTCCCATGTCTATAGAAAATTGGTCAACTTGAATTTTTTTTGGTCGTCCACCTTTAAAACTCTTGCCAGGGAGATAATCATTTATTTTGTCTTCTTTATTTTTAAGTAATGTACCATTATTTAAAATAAAATGTATATCCCCATTGTGTGAAAACTCACCAGATGAATCGTCAACAGCTTCTTCATTTATGTTCCGCTTTTGTGCTTTTTTAGGTGAATTTGATTTAACCAACCATCCTTCTCGTTTTTTTACCTTAAAAAAATATTTTCAAATAAGTGCTCAATAAATAAATACAAAATAGTAAAAAAAAACTATTAATGTTAGGTTTTTTATGGATTTTTTTTGATAGGGAGGAATTTTTTCTCCCAATCAAAGGAAACAGACATAAAATTTTATTCCTGTTTTACACTCTGTTCTGGTAGCTTTGGGAAGATAAACTTAAAAAACCTTAGAGAACTTATATAAGAGAATATTCGCTCTTAAAGCTAAAATAATATATATAATAAAATATATTTACAAACAAACCATAGTCATATATGAAAGTGAATACTAACCATTATTTGGTTTTTCTAAAAAAATTTGAATCACAGGATCATCCACCAGTGTTTCTGAAAGGTATAATAAGTTTGATAACTTGAAATAATGATAATGAACTTTTACTTTTAACTATGGAAGCACTAAAACTTAACAACTGATAAATTACGTCAAACACTTGCAACAACCACTTTGATCTATTTTATGACTTTTAAAAGTCATAATGGTATCAAGAATTTAACCGTTACATTATAACAACTACTATTAACCACAACAAGGAATGAATCAATTTACCTGTTATTGTATCTTAACAGGCTTTAAGAACTTTTCCTACAAGCAATTTATAAAAATAAGTATAAGCAATGAAATAGATATAATAGTGTACTGCAACATTATTTGTTGTATTTAGAAATTATAATCAGCTATGAAACATAAAAAACTTAGAAATTATAATAAGGTATAAAACATAAATAACAGGAGCATTCCTACTAACTTATACTTAAAATTATTTAGCATGATGATATTTATGTTTTATGCCTTATGATAATTTTAAATAAAATACCAGGAAAAAAAAACAAAAAAAACAAACAAAAAAGCAGAAAAAAAAAATAAATAAATAAAAAATTTTCTTTTACATTTCTTAGTAGATAAAGAATGCTGCATTGATGTCAACTTTTTGTTAGCTACAGTTGCTTTGTCTAGATATTAGAAATTATTTACAAAACATTTAGCTCAAATGCCACTAATCACCACCACAAATAATATTTTCCTTCTTATCTTTTTTAAAAATAAAACTTTTTAACTAAATAAAAAATTTAATGTACAATTTCCTGACATAGTAAAATATATAAATTTTTCAAAAAAATAAATTTCTTTAGAAATAATATTATATGCACACTTACAAAAACATTGAAGATCGTTGTTTTTATTTGTATTTATTAGCTCTACTTTTGCTGACATAGTGTCTTCCTCAGTAGTTACATTATATAAATTTTCAAGTTCCACTAAAGAATTTGTAAGCAAAATAATTAAATAAATTATTTGTGTTGCTCTTTGTTATGTTTTATGTATTTGGTTCTTCTATGTACATGACTTTAAAAGTATAAAAATTTTTTTATGAAAAATAACTTAAACATTTTAATAGAAAATATATACTTTTCAATAAAATCAAAAACATTAGCACCACTAAAACGTTTCACTTTTTGTAGTGGAAATGTAAACCATTGAATGTCAGGCTCTGTGCAATATGTAATCATTTGAATGACTGGTCTATCCGGCTCAGAAGGATAACATACACACTTCTCTATCATATCTATCCAACAAATAGGAATGTTTTCTTGTATGGTTTTTAACTCTTCTTTCCATACAGCAGTACAATATTTATCCTAGAAATCAAGTGAAAATAAGTGCAACACACACACACACACACACATATATATATATATATATATATATATATATATATATATATATATATATATATATATATATATATATATATATATATATATATATATATACATTTAAACAATTTAAAATATATTCTACAAAAAGAGTGCTCAATGTTCTTAAAAGAACAGAGCAATTACAAATTAGTAGAAAATCACTTAGCAAAAAAAAAAATATATATATATATATATATATATATATACATATATGTATATATATGTATATATATATATATATATATATATATATATATATATATATATATATATATATATATATATATATATATATATATATATATATATATATATATATATATATATATATATATATATAAATTAGTAGAAAATCACTTAGCAAAATTTTTTCTCATTTAACAGAAAACTGTGTTTCATCAATAAAGACTTATCAGAAATGTATGATCAAATTAATAAAACTTCAATTTATACAAAAAATTAAATTACAGGGAGTCACATGTCTTAACTACTGCAATTTTTCACACATTTGTGTCATTTGCTGACACTATTGTAAAAAGAATTCCTTAGAAATGATTACTTAAGCTTTTTTAAAAAATAATATATTTTTTTCAAAGTGGAGTTAATGTAACTATTATTTGATGTTACAGATGTTCTGTGAAATGCTCGTAAAAGAAAAGCATCTAATACAAGGTAAGCAAACCAATTTGTGACTTATTAAGACTTGTTATATGTGAAACATGTTTCTGTTTTTAACTGATATGTAGTATAAAACACACAAACTTTGACATTAATTCACATTAGTCGATACAGTTATTATAACTTAAAATAAACTATAGTTTTTGCTTGTTAATAAGAAATGTTGTTGCTCGAAAATATATGAAAAATATTACTAACCAGGTTAATGTGCTGGAATATATATATATATATATATATATATATATATATATATATATATATATATATATATATATATATATATATATATATATATTTATGTATATATATATATATATATATATATATATATATATTTATGTATATATATATATATATATATATATATATATATATATATATATATATATATATATATATATATATATATATATATATATATATATATATATATATATAATATTTCATAAAAATAAAATTATTCAGAATTTTTGCGTCTGTTGAAGTCATTTAAATGTCATTATTATATATATATATATATATATATATTAGGTTGACCGGAAAGTAATGTCGTTTTTGCGCATGTTGACATTCGATAATCGTTGGCCTGTTTATTGTGTCTCGAATACGTGCACAGGTTATTTTTATATTAGTGTGACTTGTTTACTTCTAAATTACTTAAAATTAAATAGTTTTCTTTGCAAATTGGAGTGAAATGGCATACGAAATACAGGAAGTGCATATTCGTCATTGTATGCTTTTTGAATTTCGCATAGGTAATAACGCTACAGTTGCGACTAAGAACATTAGTGATGTTTACCCAGGTTCATTAGATGTTCGCAAATGCCAAAGATGGTTTTCCAAGTTTAGATCTGGGAATTTTGATCTTTCTGACGCCCATCGACCAGGAAGACCAATGTCATTAGACAACGACGTTCTAAGGGCAGAAGTTGAAGCAAATCCATGCCAAACCATTGAAGAATTGTCGAACACCCTTAACCAACCTTGGTCGACCATCCAAGAACATTTACACCAGATAGGAAAAATCAGCAGAGCAGGTGTTTGGGTCCCCCATAACTTGTCAGTGCAAAACAAAGCCAACAGATCAACCACGTGCAATGCATTGATTCAACGGCACCATGCCGAACCGTTTCTTGATCGTTTGGTCACTGGAGATGAAAAATGGGTCCTATACGATAATCCAAAACGCAAAAGGCAGTGGCTCTCCCCAAATGAACCAGCACGCAGTACTGCAAAGCCGGGATTACACCCCAAGAAGGCGCTCCTGTGTGTTTGGTGGAGTATCCGCGGTATCGTCCACTTTGAAGTGCTTATTCCTGGACAAACTGTTAATGCGGACTTTTATTGTCAACAATTGGATTGAGTGAACCAAGCTCTAGTTGAGAATTACCAGGCTATCGTCAACAGAAAAGGTGTCATTCTTCAACATGACAATGCAAGGCCGCACTGTGCACGACGGACGCTAGAAAAAATTAATGAATTGGGATGGGAGGTGCTGCCCCACCCTCCATATTCACCTGATATCGCCCCTTCAGATTTTCATTTGTTCCGATCCTTACAGCACTTTCTAAGTGACAAAAAATTTCAAACTTTGTACTGCTTAAAAAATGGCATCTCCAGATATTTTGATGACAAACAAATACATTTTTTTTGATCTGGTATAGAAAATTTGCCCGCTAGATGGCAAAAGGTTGTGGAAAATGAAGGTGATTATATGTCATTGATTAAAAATAAATATTATAAAAAAATTATTTGTTTTAATTTGACGTAAAAATACGACATTACTTTCCGGTCAACCTAATATAAATATATATATATATATATATATATATATATATATATATATATATATATATATATATATATATATATATATATATATATATATATATATATATATATATATATATATATATATATATATATATATATATATATATATATATATATATATATATATATATATATATATATATATATATTTATATATATTAGATATCGGCGACGTGGAAGAAGATGTTGACGGCAATGCAGAAAAATTTCTTATGTATATTTTTGTGAAATAAAATTAAGTAATTTTAGTTAAAATGTTTCTTTATTTGTGTAATTTAATCATTTTTTATGACTAATTTAACCGCTATAACACCTTTGTATCAAACAAGTCCCAGCAAGCAAAAAGATATTTAAAATGCATCTAAAAACTGGTCTAAAAGACGTCCAAATTCACGTCGTGAACGAGACATAAATAGATGTCTATCTTATTGATGTCTTTTAAGTGCATTTTATTCGACAAAAATAAATGCCTTAGATGCATAAAAGCTGTGAAATAATCATTTAAAGATGTATATTAGATGTATAAAAGAGCTATTATTAGCTAAAATAAATTATCTATTATCCATCTATTTTAAACGCGCCTTAGACATCTATTTAAGAGACGTATTTTATACATCTAATTTGCATCTGTAAGATGTATATTTCACATCTTTTATGCATCTAAGGCAATTATTTGTATCGAATAAAATGCATCTAAAAGACGTCTATAAGATAGAAGTCTATTTATGTCCCGTTTACGACCTGAATTCAGACATCTTTTAGACCAGTTTTTAGATGCATTTTAGATATCTTTTTGTTTGCTGGGTTAAAACAATTGCATCAGTTGCTCCTATTTGTTTGTTGAAAGTTTAAAACAATTGCTTCAGTTGCTCCAAATTGTTTAAAATCTACAAAATTTTTCTATTCCAAATAAACGTTTTTCGCTCGCAATTTTTGTCAAAGGACTTTACTTGTATATCAGTGTTTTATAATAAAATGATTTTTTAAATGCAATTAATTAAGGCTTGGCATTTGCCAATTATTTTCAAATATAAAAATCAGTTAGCTGAAAAATTGAAAATTTGAAATAATAAGTGTCCAGTGCACTTTTTTTTGTATCGAAGCTTCTAACTTTAATTGAATTGTCTGAAAAAGCTTTCTACTATAACTTTTATTAACAGGTTGAAAAAGTTTTCTACTATACCTTTTATTAACAAGTTGAAAAAGCTTTCTACAATACCTTTTATTAACAGGTTGAAAATTTTTTCTAATCTTTTTAGTGTGCTTTCAGTCTGTGTTTCTTTTGAATTTTCAGATCAATTTAAATTTACTAACAATGAATCTGCATCTGAAATTATCAAAATAGGCACTGATCAACTGCCAAGCCAATAATATTTATCTGTTTTTATGACTAATTGTTTTGTCACCAGTTTTAAATCTTTCTATTGGATCAAAATATTTATCCCGATTTTGGTTTAAAATATAAAAAGACTTTTTGATATAATTATTTTTCCAAATTGTTCCATTAAAATTAAAAATCAAAATATTCAAACATTTATGATGTAATATTGATATCATATCAGTGATGCAAAATAAAAATTATTGCTCACATAACCATTTTTTAACAATTGTTAAAAAGTCCACATTAATATCATGTGAAAATATGAGCTTGGCTATAAAAAAGATGCAGATTATCCTTTACACATTGTTGACATTTGCTTCCAAGTAATCCTAAAACTAAAACAAATTTAAAAAAAACTCTGGTTTTCATTTCGCAGAATAAATAATTCTGTAAAATATGTCAAAATCTAATCTAAAATTAACTTTAAAAAAGACAATGAAATCATTTCCTTTTTTAGAGTTGTTTTTTGAATATTTTATAGATTTTGAACTATTTGAGTCATTATATACGATGCAAATTTATTAGATGTGGTAAACAAAGTATTTCGTCCTAACTCTGTTTTTTTTTTCCAATACCTTTTAATACGAAAAGGATATTTTGAATGGAAGGATTCAGCCAATTTTACTGGTTAGCTTATTCTAGCATAGAAAATGGAGCTTACATTGACTTAAAATTACATGTCTAATTTATGAACGCAGTTTCCATGGCAATATTTTTAAAACTTCTGATAAAAATAGATTCAACAAAAGAAATGCAAAATAAATTTAGTTATTATTCAATAACATAAACAGCAACGCCAATCCTAGAATAAAGTTGACTGAGGAGGTTTGCATTACCTGTGTTTCGTTTTTTTCTTTCCCTCCTCCTGTGGCAGAGGTATTTTTAAATTTACTTTTATCAAGTATATCATATATTTTCTATGAGCACAAAATAACACTGCAACGATCTGCTTCTGTATTTCTAAGATTTGCTTCTGTTAAAATTATTAAGTATAGCTACATTTTTTTGTTACAAACTGATAATTTTAAACCCAGGACTCTAGCGTG